AAAAAAAAAAAAAAAAAAAAAAAAAAAAGTAGCCATGGAGTGTAATAATCTTGCCATAGCTGACCGGCTGGTACATACCATTGGCCTCCACCCCTGGTCGAGGTCGCGCTGAGGTAGATCTTTTTTTTTTTCTTTTCTTTTTGGGTTTTAGAAGTCTTCTCCACGTGTGGCCGTTGATGGACTTTTCAAAAATGGGACCTGTGGCTTCCGGCTGTGTGTGTGCACAGAAACAGATACACGTCCAGATTCAGGCGTCAAACCCAATCCTCTTTTTTTTTTTTTTTTTTTTTTTTCCTCGCGTCTTCCCCCAACAGAACGTATGGTCACTGTCGGTGCATCTAGACTGATATTTACCCCAAATACAGCAGCTATAGCTCAGGAAACTCAACACCATTTCTGCACATCTCCCCAAAAGCGTCCAGATTCAGGCGTTGAGGTAGCTCAAAGCTGCTAGTGGGACTTCGCCACGGCTCAACTGCGTTCTTCCCTCGAATAGAACGTACGGTCACTATCGCTGTATAATCTTCTACGGTAGGGAGACCGAATGTGGCCATAAATACACCTAAAATGACCAGACGTTCTATTCTGCGGAAGGCGGTACGGAAATTTCGGGGCGACGACACGCATGTCCTTCAGGACATGCATTAAAATTGGAACGATACAAAACCGGATGGCTGACAGCTGAAAGGTGGAAAAAAAAAATAAAAATAAGAGTCTAGAATCCAGACTCTATAACTACCTCTAGCTTAAAAAAAAAAAAGGAGCGATACCGATAATATATATATATATATATAACAGTTTGTCACAGCCCCTCGTTTGTTGTCCTCTTCTCTCTCTCTGCCTACGGTTTACCGGGCAGTTCTATTTGTGACGATATATATATATATATATATATATATATATTTAATTGTGGCCCGCAGATCAGATATTAAACTGATCAGAACAGATACTACACTTGATCTTAGCCTGCTAGCTTTAAAAAAAAAAATCAGCATGGCGCTCGCCACTTGGCGCAAGGACGACACCCATGAATCGAGAAATGGTCCTCATTTAGAAAAAAGCGAAAACGTTGACACGCATAAAATTTAATCGAGACAGGGGGGGAAAAAATAAAAGTAAATAAAAAATCACCCCAGCTATTTGAGCGCTCTCTGCATTTCCCATATGCAGATCGTGCGCGCTCTAAGCACTGAGAAGAAAGTCCCCACCCCCACCCATGCGTTCTATTCGAGGGACCGAGGTTGCCAAGTACGTAGCTGGCGGCATTGCTCCCGCTGCGCACACCACGCTCGCCCGAATATAATGCACCCGCGCTCTGTTCGGTTTCCCCGGGCCGAGGTCCCACTAGCAAAGAGGATTGGAGTGAACGCCTTAATTTGGACAAGTGCAGAAAATCGAGATTGAACTCCTCTTTTCTGGATCTCTGCCTAAAACACGTCTAGATTCAGGATCTTAATCCAATCCCCGTTGCTAGTGGGACCATGCTCCCGGTGGTACAGGTAACCTAGACGGTCTCAGTATATGTTGCTCAGTGGAACCGCCCGGTCGACCGGCTGTTTGTTTTTTTTTTTTTTTCCCTTTCTCTTTTTTTTTCTTGGACGGTTTTGATCGGTCGGTCGCTACCATCTTTTCCCCAAGAGAACTTCTACAGTCATGATCGCTGTATGTAGACTGAAAGTTGCGCTAAGTACGGATATAAGGACCGGCGTACTACGGTCTATTCGGTGGGGAAGACGTCACGTATCCATCCCATGCAGCCATTCGGTCGCCGACCGATCTATCAGACTGTTGCACCGGTCTCTTCCGCCATCTTGTCGCCGATCGTTCCTTTATCTGTTGATCGGTCCACCTACCAATTCGTCTGTGCTAAAAAAAATAAAATAATAAATAAATAAATAAATATGTGCTGCCGTTAGTCGATCCGCGGTCGATCCACTGATTGTAAAACGATCGGTCGGTTGATCCATGGATTGATTGGGAGGTCGATTGGTCGGTGGTTCCCCGACCGGTCGGCCGGTCGTTAGATCGGTAGCTGCTCATTTGTCGGCGAATCAGCGGCCTATCCGGCGCTGACTCCTCCTCGCCGGCCTGGCTAGCCTAGCTCCACTACTCTCAAAATGTGCACAATGAAAATGAATCCTCTACTCGAAAAAAAAGAAGAAGAAAAAAAAAAAAGAAAGAATCGTCCGTTTTCCAAAAATAAAACTAAAAAAATCAATCCTCCACTAGAATATGGAAAGGCCCAATGCATGTTGCAATTAATTTCAATGCTTTCCAGAAAAAAGAAAAGAAAAAAAAAGGAAAGATACACGGCCATATATATATGTTTTTTGTGCATATGGAGAGTGGAGAAGCGAGGCCCCACGACGTCGCCCTGCAGTCGGACAATGCGGACGCGCAGCGGGCGTCGATCAGGGGGCAAGTCCCTTTAGCAGCGTTGAGTTTCCTCGATGCCCGAATCTGGACGTCATTGTGGAGATGTGCGGTTGAGATGGCCAATCCTGTTCCACGCGGTGCGATCTTTTTTTTTTTTTTTTTTTTTAATTCCTTTTTGAGTGAAGTGAACATTGCATGGTCGAGACAATGAAGGGATTGCATGCGGCCATTGAAAAAAGGCAAAAAGAATTTGAGATTATATATATTTTTATTTTATTTTTCAGTAAGCTATTTTCTTGTCTCAAATTTCACCTCACAGTACCTACCTACCACTCCTTCTAGGTCGTGGTCCCACTTGTAGCAAAGAGGGTCGGATCGAATGCCTGAATCTGGACGTGTTTGTGGAGAGGTGCAGGAAATCGAGATTGAACTGCTTTTCTGCATCTCTGCATAAAACACATCCAGATTCAGTCATTCGATCCGATCCTCTTTGCTAGTGGGACCTCGGCCCTAGTTATAGTCATACAGGGAACCCCATAGCAGCCAAAACCGTGTTCAGGAGAGAACATGCGGGGGTGAAAAAAAAAAAAGAAAAAAAAAAGAAAAGAGGGTTGGATTGAACGCCTGAACGTGGACGTGTTTGACTCAACGTGCAGAATTTAAACTGCCATTGATCTGCATTTGCTGCATGGGACACGTCCACATTCGGGCATGTAATGCAATGATCCTCTTTCTCTGTGGGACTGCGCTCCAGATGGATCCGAAGTTCTCCTCAGGCGAGGTCCCACTACTACCGGTAGTGAAGAGGATTGGATTAAGCGCGGCTGAACCTGGATATGTTTTACGCAGAGATTCAGAAAAGCTGTTCAATATCTAGTTTCTGCACCCCTGTCCCCAAACGCCTCCGGGAGCATGGTCCCTCTAGCAACCGGGATTGGATTGAGATCCTGAATCTGGGCGTGTTTTAGGGAGAGATGCAGAAAAGGAGTTCAATATCAGATTCAGGCGTTCAATCCAATCCTCTTTGGGACCTCAGCCCGGATTCAGGCATTCAATCCAATCCTCTTTGCGAGTGGGACGTCGCCCGGGATTGAATTGACCGACTGAATGTGGACGAGTTTGTGGAGATGTGCAGGAAATCGAGATTCAACTGCTTTTCTGCATTTCTGCTTAAAACACATCCAGATTCAGGAGCTCGATACTATCCTTTTGCTAGTGGGACCTCGCCCCTTCTGCGCATATTCATCGTTCACTGAGTGACTGAGCTCGAGCTTTCCTTCCCCCCGCCGAATTGCGTTTTTTTTTTTTTTTTTTTTTTTTTTTTTTTTTTTTTGGCCGGACTTTTTCAAAGAGTGTTGTGCCCAAATAATTTTATATTTATTTTTTTTTTTTTTTTTTTTTCATTTTTATTTATACGTATGTATATATATATATATATATATATATATACACATATGCATATATACGTATGTATACATGCATATATATACATATATGCTATGCACAGTTGGTGACATTGTGTGTAGGCTGTAGTTTCGGGCGGGGGAAGGTTGTGCGCGGGCCCGCGGGGCTGACAGGCAGCTGACGGGGAGGTGCCGACCGAGTGCTGTGGCTTTAAAACAGAGCTCGCGCGATCAGAGCAGGTGTTGGGAGAGGGAGGAAGGGAGAGGTAGGCTGTTAGCCTGTTAGCCTGTTGTTAGTCGACGAGCGCACTTGCACCCGCGGGTTGTTTCGGGAGCGCGCGTCGACGGACGGTCGCCGTCGCGCGTGTCCCGCCTGCTCACGCTCACGCGCCCGATCGAGCGTCCGCCCACCCGGCCCCCGCCCCCGCCGATCCTCCGCCAGTCGGAACCTTGCAGAGCAGCCATAGCTCGATCTCGACGTCCGACGGGTCTCATTTACTAGGATCTCCACTGTTCCTCCCTCTCTCCCTCCCTCCCTCCCTCCCTTCCTCCCTCCCTCCCTCCTTCCCTCCCTCCCTCCCTCGTTCGCAGTCCCCTTTGCAAATGCGATGGGGTAATTCTGCTTTTACATAGAATTCTTTTCTTTTTTCCTTTTCGCTTTAGCTCCCTCCCGTTCACTCCCATTTTTGCCTTTCCGATCTCCCTCCACTCTCTACCGCCAGTCATTCTCTCTCTCTCTCTCTCTCTCTCTCTCTCTCTCTCTCTCTCTCTCTCTCTCTCTCTCTCGTTCGTTCATTCGCGTCCCCTCTTCTCCATCGACCGCATTTCCGCTCCTGCAGTTTGTCTGCTGGGGCATTCACTGCGCGAAGGGGATACCGAGGTATCTACTATCTACTAGTATCCTGGATGCACCTGACGGTAGTTACGGCCAGATTCGCCCGATGGATTGATAGTGTGAGTATATTCTAAGTCAGGCTGCCGTCTCCTCGTACTCAGCTTATTGTAACAAGGAGCTTTTCCGTTGACGCAGCTGCTTTGGGAGGAGGAGGAGGAGGAGGAGGAGGTAGTGAAAAAAGTCGTGCGGGTGTGTTCCGGCTTGGCTTGGCTTTCCCGACGAAAGCCAAGGATTACCGCTGCTCGCTTCTCCTCAGTCCGAGCCTCCGAGGTGGTGGTGGTCCCCACCATCCGCTGCATTGCCCGCACAGCCTCGGGTGAACTTTCGGCGAAACTTTGGCCAATGCTGAGTCACGTGTAATGTCGGTCACGTGTCGACCTCGTTGAGTATTCGGAGGAAGTTTCCTCCGAACTTTCCGAGTACTGTCGACGACCAAGATCACAAGATCGGGGCACAACGACAGCTCATCGCCGGAAGCAGCAAGCGAGCGAACGCGGACGAAGTTTCAGCGTCATTTCACAGTACTCTCGACGATCTAGTCAGTGACACGTGGGTGCGGCTTTTTGTAACGGCTACAAAGCAGGTACCTTCTTCTCTGTTTTTCTCCTTTTTTTTTTTCGCCAGGGGGGGGG